ATATAATTAAAAAATAATAATTTCGAAATTCTCACATGGAGATTCATACATGCAATACGAAGCAATTTGCAAAGAAATGCCCACATTTTAATTTGTAACACAACCAATTCTGAGACAAAAAATAATATTAAAGAAAATTACGTTAGAGTATGTCCGCTATGCTGGGCATTTTGGCACTTATCACGCTGTCAATTAAATGATCCTTCTTATCAGACTTGTTGCTTATAATTTCTTATTTGTAAACGCTTTTGCTTAGCTTTTAATACATTGGGGCGAGCCGAACATTTTCGCTATCGAACTGCAGATAGACAAACAAGAAAAAAATAAATACAAACAAGTTTCGTTGCGAGATTTTAGTACAATGTCAACAAAGTTGTAACAAATAAGATAGTTACACTAGCTAAAGGGGTTTCGGTACTGCTGCCACCGTGGGTTAATTCGTACAACTCCTCATCCGTTTTGGTCTGCGCCTCTATTTTGTAAATAAATTCCGCTGATACGGGTTTGTGATCGGAGAGTGTATAATTAGGATGAGATTTATATGATAATTGTGTTATATTTAAAGTTATATCAGGATAACGATTTTCTTGTACACGGTGTAAGATACGATCACACCATGCTGGACGTCGCTTCAAATCGTATTCAGATGTTCCTTCAATGAACTTGAAAGTAGGTGCAAAAGTAGGTAGTTCTTCAGAAAGTAGAGCAAATGCATTGCCCGTACTGCGTGCCAATGATAATTGGTCGCGTTCTAATAGCTCCTCAAATTTGCCCTGTTCAACTAATGAGCGCACATCCCATGCTGAATCGCTGCCAGTTAAACGGAAATTTAGATCACCAAACCAAAACACGTAATCATGATCGAAAATACTACGATATTTTGGTGTTTTATAATGATGATTATTCACTATTTGATTGTAGTCTTCGATGCGTTCACTCAGTTTGTCGTCATGTGCCGCTAAATGTGCACCAACAAAAGTCACACCGGTACCATAGAGACTCATACGTATACTTACGGCGCCTTTATTACCCCATAACCCGCCTAAACCTGTACGGGTACTTTGCACCTCTATGTCTTTCATATGTGGTTCATGCTTGGGTTGCGCGAACATCATAATTAATATTCCTTGCATCTGCTCTGTTCCAATTTTAATATAATCGTGGGGGTTAAGATGTTCACTTATCTTAAACGTCCATGGGTCATCATTGAAAATGTTGAGAAATTGATTTTTAGCATGGGTGCTAACTTCTTGTAATGCCACAACGTAAATGTCAGGTAATTTATCTTCCGGGCAAGCTGTTGTACCGCTTAGCGACAAAGCATCCCTCATAGAAATATCATGTGGACGATGTGTCCCTACATTCCATGTAAGGATGTAGACACATAAGTTAGCAATTATGGAAGCACTCATTTCGACTTAATTATTATATACACACACTCGTCACTACAAATTACTGTTCATAAGTATTACTCATATAAAAATATTATTGCTAGTGAGATTTTTATACGGTCACGATCAGTTTACTTGACAGCTACTAATCCACGAATTAGCTCATAACAAATTTGGTGCTACAACTAATACTATCTAAATGCCGTATTCTGGTTGTCAAATATGTTGCTTTGTTTTATACTGGCCTTCGAATTCAACATAATCAACATGCAGGAATATATTTTAAATGTTTAACAACGTTATCTCCTTTACATTACGTTCATCACCTAATGTAGTATGATATTTTTCATTTTAGTTCTACTGGAGAGAAGTGTTTATATTAATTACTAATTAAATTATCGAATTCAAAACAAAATTACCTTTMCCGAACACCTTTAAACCTGTTTCAGTGACTCTTTGTTGTTTTCGTTTTTTTAGCAAACGTATGATACAGCTGTGTTTAGTGAGCTTATCACAACTTTTATTACGTTSAACAATGTTAGATATTTAAATCCCATTGCGCTTTTCAAAATCGAAAATTTCGGTATACAATAACAGATTAAATAATTTTTAATTTGCTAAACTTCAACATTCAACCATTTACCTTACAGATTTTATTATTATTGATGAGATACAAAACAGGCATGTGAACATATCGTTTGCTTAACGAAAATCAGAGAACGTCTATCATATCATATAGACGTTCTCTGCGAAAATATACGTTATTTACCATTTTTTGACATTTGTTAMAACGTAAAAAAAGTACATTTTATTTACTATCAGCTGATATGTATAATAATTTATCTAATACTATTTTGTTCGCATTTATTTTCTAACTAATTTGCTAACTAAAATTAATTTTTAAAATGACGTTAGATGCACATAAAGGAGAAGATAAATTGTTGACCACTATTCAACAGGAGTATAAAATACTTGCAGAATAGTAAGTAACAACATTTGGCGGACTAAATTTAATTATATTAACTGGTGTTTCTCTTTATAGTAAAATGATTGAATCGGAAAAAATAGGTGGAGTCTATGTAATACCGTCATATGGAAACTCACTTTGTAAGTCATATAATTAAATTGGAACTTTTTCACTATTTAAATGTAATTATTTTAATGATTTCAGTATGGTTTGGCGTCATATTTGTCAGACAAGGATTCTATATTGATGCAGTATTTCGATTTACAATACTATTGCCAGATAAATTTCCTGACGATAAGACATTGCCTGTAAGAAAATCGCAGATGTAAATATATGAATTATTCAATTTAAACTTTTAAATTGTTTTTAGACCGTTATCTTCCAAAATGAAATCATCCACCCACTCATATGCCCTTACACCGGATCTTTGGATATTTCATGCGCCTTTCCTTATTGGCGTACCGGAGAGGATCACATCTGGCAATTGCTTAAATATATACAGGCCATATTTATCGATCCCATTGAGTGCACACGTCTTGCCGCTAGTGGTGCCAAATATAACAATGCCGAAGCAGCGGAATTGCTATCACAAAATCGTGCAGAATTTATAGCACGAGCTAAGGACTGCGCAAGCTCTAGCAAAGATCGAATTTATGATGAACCACCTACGGAGGACCCACATTACATAGTCTTTGAAAAGTTTGACACAGACATTCATGGGCCAGTAAAGGAGCGCATTTGTTCAGGCAAAGATCTACCGGAAAGCCCAACTATGCCATCAAATGGTCTATCGTGGGTAAAGGAGGGTGAATTTAAACCTCTAAGTGTTGAGTAATAATTTAAGATGTTCTAAAAATGTTAAGATTAATTAAATTGTGTAATCGATTGTTAGCAATAATATAATATAATTTTTAGTAATTAAAAAAAAACAAATTTAAAATATATTTCCTTAACTTTATCACAGTTTCAATTGCACTCTTCTTCTTCTAATATTCCAAGGCGTTGAGTATTTTCTACCCAAGTATTTTCCAATTCCAACCGCTCACCCTGCCATGTGAAATGTGTTGGCGGTTCTTGTTCTCCGTTAATAAACTCAAAATTGCGACTTAGCTCTATAGCTAATTTCGAACGTATCAAACCAATGCCTCCAACTTTAGACCATGCAGGATGGTAAACGCGACCTGTTTTAGGGTTCATATAAATCTTTTGAGGTAAAAATTCAGTGGTAAGCTGGTCTGCGGCATGAGCGTATGATATGCGATCGTGACCTAATATACAATTTTACGTATTATTATTGTAGTGATATTGTGCAGTAAAATATTTACCCTTATTGTCTGATAACACATGTGTGAACACAATTGGTGTATCATCACAGCGTATGAAGTTTCGTTCACGACCACATAAAGATATATACGGGAAGTGTTCACGATATCTCTTGGTGTCATTCAGTTTTACTCGACTAAAGAAAAATTTCAAGAATTGCTTTTCCTTAAAGCAAGAGGTGAAGTTTTTCATTTTCGCGTCATCTAAAAAAAGCTGTTTACATTTGAAACTTTATCACTTTGCAAAAGTATTTCCAGTTCCAAAGATCTCACCATGCCTTCGTGATCAATATAGTAGAAATATTCACGTATTTTCGGTTCAGGTTCCTGGCCCTGCACATAACTTACGCCACTGAAATGATTGCACCTTAGTAGGCATGTTGAAGCAACAATATTTTTATATTTATTTGCAGCACGTCTCAACATATACCGAAAAATCATTTTAATTGCGTTTATACTTTATAACAAGTTGTTCGAGTTTAATAATAAAAACAAATAAAATTGTCAAAACAAAAATCAGCTGTTATGATACAACCTACAAAGTTACATTCAACTGCTAACACAAATTACAGGAAATTAAATTTCAAGCGGAAATCTGTAAAAGGAAGGCCATCTTAAGAAGAAACYACCCTAATAATCACACAYGTACTTACACATATTTATTAACGTRATTTTATGGAAAATATAATAAACTTCATAACTCTGATATTTATTTATGATTAAAAAAGTAAACACTTTTCTGAATGCTTTTTTGCATCTACCAATCTCTAAAAGATTTAACCAAAATCAGGTTGGATGGATCATAGTACAATATAACATAGAAGGAACTAAATTATGGGTTGAAATAACAACCATTCCAAAACGAAAATTAAAGATTTTTTCACATGGAAGAAGCTCGGTCAATTATCTAGCAGCATTGTACTCGCACCAAATTGATATTAAATGTATGTATGTATGTATATACCAAAAATATGTAAATACGTGTATTCGTATATACAACTTTTTTACAAATTCAAATATAGGCATTCATACATGTAGAATCTTCATCCATTGTACGTACATTTGTAATGTTTTTATTATTTAATCCAGTGTATATTTAGACTTAAATATGTAGAGCTGCCTGAATATACCTATCTTAYAAATACATTAAGTTGAAATCTTTTCACAAGGTTCAAAAGTCTTATCAGTGTTATTTACCTCTGAGGTCATTAAGTTTTCGTAATAATCTGAGACTTACAGCTGACTTRGATTATGAAATTTATGCACTTAAAATTTAGTTTATTAAAAGCTCATAAAGAAGCATGATTAAATTGTCAAATTGTATCACCACCCTTCTTCTGGCTGCAGCCGTTGTTGCGTTTCAAGAGGAGTCAATATTCGAAGATGAAGATATATACAATCAAGCATTACCATCAGTTCCTTTTACCGGTATAACCGTACCAGGTACAAAATGGTGCGGACCTGGAAATACTGCAGCCAATTATAATGATTTAGGAACTCAACGTGAGCCTGACACATGCTGTAGRGAGCATGATCATTGTGAAGAAATACTGGAGTCAAGACAAACTTTACATGGACTTAATAACACCGATTTATTTCCTATGTGAGTAATATTAAATAAGATCCATAAATTGAAATCGTAGTTATTATTGAATATTAATAATATTTTGAATTAGCAAACACTAAAACTTAATATAAATATTTTCAGCATGAAATGTACTTGTGAACAAACTTTCTTGAACTGCCTACAATCYATTAATGATATGGTCGCAAATACATTGGGACGTGTCTACTTTGGTACGCGCAAAAAATGTTTTGCTAACGGATATCCAATAGTAAGTTGCAAAGAGTATCAAAAAGGAACTTTTAGGCAGCGTTGCATACGTTACCATGTGGATAAAACGCGGGCAAAAATTTGGCAGTTCTATGATATACCATTTTATAGCTATAAACGATAGCCTTGTTTTGAACATACGAATTTCATTAATGAATACATAAAGAAATAAAGGTAAAAGATTAAATGATAAAGATAAAACCTTAATTATTACTCACATTTAATTTAGRATGTTTACTCAGTTTTAAAATTCGCTATAATTTATACGTACGCAACGACACAAAAYACTCAACTTTGGCATATATTATTATCGGGGGCATCGCTACCATATCAGCATATATTCAGATCGGACCATTGTAGCTTAAAGAGCAATTCAAACTGATCGATCATTGTCATAAAAAAGACATTTGAAAGCCGACATTCGAAGTCGAAGTTAACTTTTAGTCTTGTTTGTTATATATGTATGTATGTATATATACCAATAGATATATTGAAATTGTACCTTCTACACCTACCTCAATTTAAATAACGGCTGTGCTGCCAAAAAATTATTCTATTCCACTATTATAACAAACTTACTCATAACGCCGAATACCACAATGAAAAATACATTAATTATTTACTTTCTAATGTAATTTATTCATCCCACTTGTTTTCCMAAACAAGGACACGGTGCTCTATCGTACACAAAACTTGTCTTCCCAAATTCTTACATACTATTATTAAAAATAAAATGTAATGTTAGGGTCTTGGCTTAGAACACCGATGCAATGCGTTCAATATCCAACAGATCTGCAAGAATTTCCTCTGTTCTCGTACCAATTTTTTTCGCCACTTCATTTTTCTCCGCTGTAGACATCATTGTGTATGTCCAAATAAGATCACCGTCGATTATACAACGACAAGGATTTAAAGATAATTTTTTCGAGCTTTTCACCGTTCGAAACTCTTTAGGATTCAAACCACCCAGATGCTCTTGATAAGAGAGCAGTACGTTTTGCAACATCAAAAAGCGTCGGTATACTTTCTCAGGCAGTGGCAAGCAATATCCAAGCGCACCATCCAATGTGCCGAAGAACACCAAGTGTTTATTTTCGTAGAGGAATGGTTGCCGTTGGTGTTGACCACGTTGATGACATTGCACACGAAACATTGTATTCACCGCCTGGCCGAGGTGATAATCAGATTTGCGTAGTAACTTCTGACCTCCAATAGATTCACGAGATTCTGGTTGGTACATGTAAACTATAAGGTTTTTATCCGCATCTGTCACTAGGAAACCTAAATTATTGTTGTCCACCATGAACTCAATATTATAGACTTGTAAATGATTAAAATCACGTGATGCAAGTGAAAGCGTGCGAAA